TGTAGATTTGTGGCCTATGAAAATGAAGTTCTATTGTTCTACAAAGAAATTTGAAGGTAAACAAGAAGCTCACGCCATAGCGAGTAAACTCGAGGGGGCGGCGTTTCTATGTATTGCGAGATTAGACGATGAACTTCAAGATGACCCAAAAGAAGTTAAAGCCGCTTTAAGGAAGGAATTCAACAAAGAATCGATCGACCACGAGAAAGCTGTCGACGAATTACGAGGTTTAAGGCGAAAAGGCGGTGAAACACCAGCACAGTTAGCGTGGAGAATCGAAAAGTTGATGGCGAAGGCTTACCCGGAGTTATGCGCGTCAACACACGGATCGGCAAAGAAAACAAAGGAACAAATGTTACATGATACCTTTTTGGGAGCTATTGACAATGCAATGAGTCGAAAGATAAAGAGCGACAGTAAACATCGAGATTTAAATTTAACACAACTTTCTGAAGAATTAGATCGGCTCGAGCTAATTTATAAAACAACAGCGCCAAAAGTAAACCTCGAAGTAAACAATTGCAAAACGACAGGGAAAGCAGACGAAATATCGTTAAGAAAGATAATCAGAGAAGAGGTAGCAGCCGCCCTATCCAAAGAAAACGATGGAAGTCGGGAAACGGAGGACGAAACAAAATGTACGGTCGGGTTCGTTGGAAAGAGAAATTTCCCGCCAAAACCTAGGAGTGGAAAAACCGGTAAAAATCAAGCGTGTTTCCACTGCCAGTCGCCTGAACATTTTCGGAAAGACTATCCATTTAAAGATCTTTGTCAACGCTGCTGGCAAAAGGGCCATACAGCACCATCTTGCAATGCTCCAAACGGCCCTCGCCCTTCGCCGTCTTTAAACTCCAAGGCGGCTGGGAACAATCGTCAGCAAAAATAAATTCGTTCTCAGCCGCGAAGAAATTTATTACACTAACTGGTACAGTGGTTCAGTCTGGAAGCAGAGAGTTCAAGCATGAGTTTATTTGTGATTCTGGAGCAGAGATTTCAGTTATTCCAACGGCGTTAGCACAAGAACATTACATGAAAATTCAACCAACTACACGTCACGTAGAGATGGCTAATGGGCCACACGCAGAATGCAGAGGTGTGGTTCAAACGTCAGTTACGGTAGGGACAAATAGTTGTATATTGAGTTTTTTGTGGTAAGTGGTGTTCAAAACGGGATTCTGGGCCTGGACTCTTTGGGAAAATTGGGTGTATCGTTGAACACAAGGCAACAATAGATGGGGCCCAACCCGTGTTACAACCGGAAGTAGATACCCCTCAGGAAATACTAAAGTGTTGCCACATACGAGTTGCGGAAAGTCGTGATATTAAGCCATTTGAAGAAATATTTATTTATTTATTTTTATTTTACAATCTTTGTCACATGACCGGTTTAACCCACAGAGCTAGTTGCTCCTTTACGGGTAACCTGCTAATGCAACACTGAAATATAGGTTAACACAGTGGATATATCGCTTCAAAATCGCTAATCACTGAGACGTTTGATTTAATGTCGTTCTGAGCAATTCTAATTATGTGGATCGAAAAAAAAGGAGTTTAATTTAAATTTCACATGCTCACTAAAAAGTGATATTTCCACTGGGTTAACAGCAACTAATGACAACACAGTTTGACAGAAAGACTGGACAAGGGACGACACAAATGACACTTTACACACACTGTTTTAAACGTTTGTGGAACATCAATGTCGTACACCTCTTCAACAAGCTTTTGGTAATATTTAAATAGGCCGCATTTAAATTGACTGATTGAGAGATTTGACTGCCGTAAGTGTGATGGTAAACAGTTAAATGTCCTGGGTGATCTGCACTAATAACTGTTCTGAAATGTTGAAGTGTTTACTCTAGGAACTTGTAATATATTTTTTGCTGTTCCATCATTTTCTCTCGTCAACCGATCTGTTGTCTTTACATGGATATTATGGTCATTAGATAGAACTAACGCTTTGTAAAGGTAGACCATATCCAGGAATCCAGGAATTCATGCCAGTATGTTAATGGTAGTAAACCACTTTTGACAAGTCTATCTTTGTATGATACTCCTGACAAGAATGGCAGTGATAAAATGTATCTGGTGGCGCGACGTTGGACGTTTTCTACTTGAAGGATAAGTGATACCGACTGTGGTGACCAAATTTGTTTGCAATATGCCATCTGGCTTCGCACCATTGTCTTGTAAAGCGCAAGGCGGGTTTTCTCGTTGCGAATGTCCATTGATGATCTTTTAATGAAGCCGAGCATTTTGTTTGCTTTGGCACATACCATGCACACGTGCTGGTTCCATTTCAAATCGGATGTGATGATCACTCCAAGATCTTTCTGGGCATTGGTTCTCTTGATGGGAGTGTCGTACTTAAGGTGGTAGCTCGACGTCACTAGCTTCAGATTTCTGGTCACCGAAAGAACTTCACATTTCGATTGATTCGGATCCATCCGCCGCAATTCACACCAATTGTTAATACCATCAAGGTCTTTTTGAAGATATTGTTCATCCTTATGTGATCTAACTGGACGATAGCATTTAGTATCATCAGCATACAAAGCAATACACGATGTAGATGTTTCCTGCGGAAGATCGTTCACGTAAATAACAAACAGTAAAGGACCAAGTATTGAACCTTGCGGCACGCCAGAAAGTACTGGGAGAGAATGTGAAGTTCTGCCAAGGACAGGTACTCTTTGGTGACGATTGGTTACCAAACCATTTCAACAAAATCCCACCAATCCCGAATTCTTTAACTTTCTTACAAGTAAACGATGATCAACTCTATCAAAAGCCTTCGCAAAGTCAAGGTAGATGGTGTCGGTTTGGACTCTCTTGGGGTAAATTGGAAGATAAGAATGAAAAATTTACTAGAGATTCGTATATCGAAGGTACGGAACATTTTCAGCAGAGAACTGGGCTTCTTACTGCCCCGATAAAGATTTCGGCAGAAATGATGAACGATGAAAATAAAATCCCCATATACGTACTGAATACTACTGATAAATCAATCAGAGTTTATAGAGAACAAACTGCGGCCACAATTCAGGAACTGCCAAGTACCCACAACATAGAACATATTTCAGAGTCAAATATGGGGGAAAATAGTCCATCATCACAATATGACCCGGTCCCAGAAGTATCAATTGGTGAACAATTGACAACACAACAAAGAGAAAACCTAGAAGTTTTAATTCGAAAAAATACACAAGTTTTCGACTACCCAGGAAACAGTGGGTTCACCACAACAATAGAGCACACAATACCCACAGCCGTATCTGATCCAATTGTGTCACCCCAGACGACACAACCTGGGGTTAACACAAAAAATGAATGAAGCAGTAGGAAACCATGTAAAGTCGGGACATTTGTTTGACGACAATCCACTGGTCAGAAACACTGAAAAATCTAATTTTCGATGTCAATTCCGAGGGGCATGACCACATTTAACTCTTCTTCACTCAAGCAAATGTTGTTATCAATTTTAAGTTTTTGACAGGGTTTCAAATTTGTCCGGCCAGAAGTGAGCTTCGAACAAGTTGCATTTATACAGAACCTAAATTTACATGTATATTTGTTCTACCGCTCTTTCTTGCCATCAGGACGACAAACAGAATTTTCACTTCTTATCTCTCCATCATAACACTTAGTTTCCCCGATTTTTTGCAAACTTTCCACTTTGGTCCTTCTTTGTTTTATAGTCTTTTCCAAACTTTTGACGAAATCCTTGCTTGGTCGTTTTCTTATCCAATCTGGCCTTTTGTCTGACGCATCTCTTCTCTCATCGTTTGATGACACGTCGGACTCATCATAAACGCTGACACTGGGTTTCTTTGGACGCCCCCTTTGGCGTTTCTTAGAACCTGCTTTTGGCTCGAAGCTGCATTCGGGATCTACTTGAAATTCTTCAAATACTCTTTCAACAGTATCAGGCCGTTGGCTATTAGCAGTGTCGAGGAGATCCAGTTCATTTACCATGAGAACAGCTTCTTTCTTTTGCTTTGCCATTTCACGAGCAGTTCGAGACGCTGTTGATGAGCCAGATCCTGCAGTTTTCCCACCATTTTTGTACTCTTCCACTACCTCTCTAGCAATATGCTCTCGGCTGTATCTTCGTATGTAGCTCGTAAAAGTGTTATTTAGCAACTTCTCGTGTGAGTGTAACTAGCATTTACAGCCTCCGCCAGATTTGACGGGAGACCAACTCACACTTAAACGCCTTGGCCCAGTGGGTTTTCCGAGTGTTCCACCAGTTTAACCAATTTGTTAACTGCTTCTTGCTTTCGTTTCGTTGTTGAATAAAATTGTATAAGACATTTAAAATTTTGAAGTAGGCAGAGGGCGTAGCAAGATTGGGGAATCCTTTATTTATAAGTAGTTGTTAGAGGCAATTGAAGATAGAATAGACCCAAACCAATTTGGTGCAATAAATAACTCAATATGTGCCACTCACGCCTTAATGTTTATGATTCACAAATGGTTTCAAGCTCTTGATGGAACTGGATCATTAGTTCGAGTATGCTTATTAGATTGTTCTAAAGCATTTGACAAAATTGACCATAATGTACTAATAAATAAGTTGGGGGATATGAATATTCATACTGTATTGGTCAACTGGATCATTGCATTCTTATCTGGCCGTACATCTTGTTGGATTGATGTCAAGGCGGGTGTACCCCAAGGAACTAAGCTGAGTCCACTACTATTCCTGATTTTGATTAACGATTTCAAACCAACCAATGACATTACAAAATTTGTTGATGATAGACCGAAGAGAAACTCTATGTCGTAAATGTTTTAACCGAGTAAATATGCCAAGCAATCGCCTTTTTAACCTTTTACCATTTAATAGTGAACATCAATATAACTTGCGTAGTGATCGCCTTCCGTCTATTAAGGCTGAAACTGAACGGTTTAGAAATTATCCCATATGCAATTAGAACGTATTTGTATTATTATTATTATTAATAATTTTATATTCTCTTATAGCTTATTTTGAATAATGTATCTTAGTTAATTTCTTATAATGTAAAAACGTGTAATTCAATCATTGATTGCAAAACGTTTTATTAAAAAATCAATCAATCAAGTTGTTTAGAAAGCTTCTTGTACCGACGCTTTAGATCATCATTAGCCATGTGAACCGAATGCCGATTTACACTCTGTATATGAAGTGAAATTCACAGCTTACGCTATTCTTTACAACGTTGTCAGGAAAATGCTTTTTTATCACGTTTCATATGCTTCTTGCTTTGTCTGTCATGAAACCATTAAGGCCCATATAGACCGGACGCGATTCGGCGACCCGTTGCGAATTTTCAATTATTTTTAACTTTATTTTTTTTCTATGTTTTTCAAATATTCGGAACCACTTAAGCAATTTGGTCTGCATATTTTGTAAATTTTTATCTGTTGACGGTTTTATTTGTTTTTGAAAACTGAAAATTCGCGTCGCGCTGTCGAATTGCGTTCGGTCTGTATGGGCGTTAAGGGAGGAATGACTCCTCAGGATCACCGCTTACTAGCTACATTTATCTAAACCTACCCTCGAACTTAACTCGTTTTTCTGATTCGATATCCAACACTGCGTCATAATGCTGTCCAATTCTGGAAACGTAAATAACACAACCCGAATCTCCATTCCTGGGGTGGATCTTCGGAAGTTCACACACATTATTGTCTTGCAGGTAGAAAACGACAACTGAAGAATTAGTTATATTGGCCAAAATGTGATACATGAGGTCAACTACACTCGCGTCGTACTTTTTGTGACGTAAATAATCGTCAAGTTTAGCCTCCCAGCCATTGTTAAGAAAGGGCGTATAGAAGTTAATGTTATCCATGACTTCTTTTTTTATCATAGGCTTTAACAATTCGACTAACTTGTACTGCGAGTTTTCTAATCCAAGTACAAATGCATGTAACATGCAGTGACCATCTTCAGGAACAACTTTGCGTATTTTGCCCAAATTTTGGACGTGCTCGTCAATTAATCTCTTCTCATGTTGAGTCATTGTATATACTCATTAACTCAATGCTTCACTCTACAAGAAAAACACTCAGTCTTAGGGATGTTAACATTACCAAAAGAATGCCTGAAATAGTTTACCAAATAAACTTTGGTTAGTATTTCACAGTGATTCTTCGATGAAAAATTATATATTTTTGACGCTAGTAAATATATAGTGGCAATCGTTCAAAGTTTCATTTTGAATTTCATCGTGAAAAAGATCTTGATTCAGAGACACTCAACACTGAAAAATCGTATCAACACAAACCTAAAAGGTACGATATTTTACATGTAAATATAATTGACTGTTGATATTGATTATTGCCTTCTAAAGATTTTGACCATTGCTTTCTTTTTGAATGCAGGAAAAATGTACATTTGGCCGGTGACTGTTTGTTAAAAAGTGACTTGAAAAATTTCGTCGTGGAAAAATTAGGGTAAAATTATTCTCTGGAAAATATCTTCACAGCACCGTGGTGCAAACTTGAAAACATGTTGATAATTATCTTGGAAGAAGATGAACTGATGAATTATTTCTGTTTCGCACAAAACTATCGGAACTAAGTGGTAATTGTACACCTGATGGGGTTCCTTTATACTAGGCGGTGGAGGGGCCAAATCGAAAATTGGCCGGCAGTTGACAACCAGTTAGGTCAAAAATGGCCGTCATGCATCAACTGTGAAACAAAATTTAAATTCTAGAAATCCAAACTTTCGAGTAAACATCAAATTGACCAGGGTGCATAAAGTAAAAACGTACATTCGATTGACTATTTTGGGTTATTGGCTGAAGTATCGCTGACCGAGTTTTGAAAAATGGGAAGTCAGCATTTTCCCGGAAGTTATCGTGATTTTTCTTAATTAAAATGCAAATCAATCTTGTCTTTGAATGAGACAAGTACTGCATGTAAGCGTTTCTTTATCACTTGGAGTAGTATTTGGATTAGTATTCAAGAACACATTTCGTATATATATTAATTATATATATTTAAAAAACTCATGAATAATTCAGGAGCAAAACACAAAGAAAAATCATAAGCGTGTCGTGGTTTGATATGTGATAAAAAATCATGTTAATATACATAAACTTTAGCTTTGATTTTCTCGGTTTAGACAAAGTTTATTCTAAAAATTACTTCGCCAATGAACTCGTATAAGATGAGTCGTTTTTTAAGCCATTTAAAGCACTTGTAGTCGTGTTTATCACATATAAAACACTCCGCTACGCGTCGTGTTTTATATGTGATAAAACACTCCTACGCGTGCTTTAAATAGTACATATATATATATATATATATATATATATATATAGACGGTACCGTTTCGGCCTAATGGGCCTCATCAGTGTAGTGCTGATGAGCAGGATGAAAGTAACTCTTATTTATAGTTACCTTTGATGCCTCACGATTGTGGGACATCAAAACCATGCCAGAGCGCTCAAACTGCAAGCAGTGAGCGTGCTCAATGCGTAAGCGGCATGGCTCATCCTGTAGAGCGCTCAATATGACCTAAAGGCCATAGAGCGATATCTAACTACAGACGGTACCGTTTCGGCCTTATGGGCCTCATATATATATATATATATATATATATATATATATATATATATATATATATATATATATATATATATATATATATATATATATATATTATACACTATATATATATTATACACTATATATATATATATACTATATATATATATATATATATATATATATATATATATATATATATATATATATATATATATATATATATATATATATATTAATTATATATATATATTAATTATATATATTAATTATATATATTTAAAAAACTCATGAATAATTCAGGAGCAAAACACAAAGAAAAATCATAAGCGTGTCGTGGTTTTATAGGTGATAAAAAATCATGTTAATATACATAAACTTTAGCTTTGATTTTCTCGGTTTAGACAAAGTTTATTCTAAAAATTACTTCGCCAATGAACTCGTATAAGATGAGTCGTATATATATATATATATATATATATATATATATTAAATTATAATTTTTACAAAATTATACAGTGTTCTCCAGATTGTAATAATTTGTTTTGAGCAATATATATAATATATATGACAATATATATATATATAATAATATAATATAATAATATATAATATATATATATATATATATATATATATATATATATATATATATATATATATATATATATATATATATCACAACGAGTAATAGATTCAATGTAATTGAAGTCCCAATAGATTATAAACAAAATACTCATTCCAGCACCATGTTAAAGAACCAATCCAGATCTCGGGAATTTGTTCCTAATATTGTATTAACTAACGTCATGTCACTTCTTCCGAAAATTGACGAAATTTGTGTTTTTACTGAAATTCATAGTATTGATTTATTCTTCATTTCTGAAACGTGGCTAAAAAGTAATGTTGGGGATGATCAACTTATCCTCCCTGGCTACAACCTCGAACGGTTGGATCGTCGAATTGGAATTCATGAGGGCGTCTGTTTGTTTTCCAATTCGAAATATAAAACATTCCGTTTATATAACTTGGAATGTCCGAATTTGGAAGTTATGTGGGTTTATGTACGGCCGGCCAGGTTACCCAGAGGTGTTTCGTGCATAATTACTGCTACTATCTACCACCCCCCGTCTTCAGACGATAATGAAATCTTGGAGTACCTAATTGCATCACTGACCCGGGTTGAGAGTCTCTATCCTGGTTGTGGTTTAATTTTGGCTGGTGACTTTAATCGCTTAGATATAAAACAGTTACGCATAAATTTTGGTTTAAAACAACTTGTGAAGATACCAACAAGAGGGGGCAATACACTTGACCTAGTGCTCACAAACCTAGATCCTTTCTATCTATCGGACTCCATCATCGCATTTCCGCCCTTCGGCCTTTCTGATCATTCTGTAATTGCTGTCTCTCCTAAACTCCGAGACCCTAAGTCTAACCAGAAGAAAGTCGTCTATAAACGTGATATGAGACCTTCACGCAAAGCTATGTTTGGGCGGTATTTAAGCGAAATTGACTGGTCTTTCCTCGACTCACCCAAATCCGTTGAGGTGAAAAACCAACTGTTCACCGATATGCTATCCTTTGGATTATTCTATATATTGCCTGAAAAACGCCTTTTGGTTCATTCCAACGACCTCCCGTGGATCAACGAGGATCTGCGTCGTCTCATACAACTTCGACAGCGTGCCTTTTTCTTCGGGAATGACACCCTCTTCAAATTCTATCGAAATAGGGTTAATAGGAAAAGGAAAACTTGCAAGGCTAATTATTATAAGACAAAAGTAGATAATTTAAAACAATCTAACCCGAACCACTGGTGGCGCGAAGTAAAACGCATTAGTGGAATGGTTTCACATTCAAGCCTACAGGATTGTATCCAATCAGAAAACTTAGAACACCTGCCCTTGGCCGATTTGGCTAATGCTATTAACAACGCCTTTCTAGAACCCATGCAGGAATTTGATCCTTTCAACCCTAATGACGACCAAATCAATAGTATGTCTGATCAACCTCTTGACATCACTACACGGTGGGAAACATATAATAAACTTACATTACTAAGTACTTCTAAAGCACCAGGTCCTGATGAAGTTCCGAATTCTGTCTACAAGGAATATGCCGAGATTCTGGCATGCCCAATCTCTAGCTTGATCAACTGTTCACTCCGCCATCAATTATTACCAAGCTTATGGAAGTTGGCGAACATTATCCCAATTCCAAAGGAAAAGGTTGTATGCGACATTAATAAACACTTAAGACCCATATCTCTTACTTGTTGTCTCTCAAAACTGGCTGAAGAATTTGTCATTGAAAAGTTTGTCGCCCCTGCCATCCTGAAATGCATCGACTCTCACCAGTTCGGAGGAATACCAAGGTCATCTTCAACTATTGCCCTTATTAGTATGTTGCACAACTGGGCTAAAGCAACCGATGGTACTGGAAATTCCGTGCGAGTCCTTCTGGTCGATTACAGGAAGGCTTTTGATCTTATTGATCACTCAATCTTGATC